ACGTAATTGTCCCGAAGCCAAATCTTAACCTTAGTAACATTAAAGACGTCCCTCTGCATCTTTTGCTCCTTGCCAGGGTCCAGTTACTTCACAATGAAACAGCATCTCACTATATAGCATCACGCTTCAAAACATGGTGGCGCTGCCCGTATGAACTTACAAGGAAAAAAAGTGTTTTTGTTGGGAGCACGGGTTTATCATCATATCTAGTGAAAGCTCACTGATCAAGCTCTGCCGTTAATCCCAGATTCTCGGTAATGTCGCCACCAAGCAGTCAAACTGGATCCGGGGTCGATCTCCTTCTCGATGACGACGACCGTAATATTTTGGTTAGTTGGCAGACATTTCTGAACGAAATCCCCCATACAGCAGCGTTGGCCGAGCTCATTGTTCCATTAAAAACCGCATACAAGTCAGGTGCTTGGAGATATAGGCACGTTTATGTTTCACTCATAAGCCGTGCTTGATGGAGCCGTTTTCCCAGTGGATGTGTCGGTCGCATTAACGGAAAGATTGAAGAGCCGAGGAAAACCGCATCGTAGGTTATATCAGATTAATGTCCCTGACAGTCAGTTACACAAATGAATGACGAGATGATGATTGCTTCTAAGAATGCGGTAACAGCATATCCACAATGGTGTCAAGGTATGCATCACATTTGCATGTAGAAGAAAGTCGAGCTGCATAAACCAATTTGTATATGTGAAAAGATACATATACATATTGACCGAGTCACTCATCCTGAAACTCGATGGAGGGATCTCTTCACTTTTTCTCTTCTCAAGCTCATCCCACTTCCCACTCCTCCTTATTGTATCACAAAAGCCATGTACTTCTTACATGACCGATAACCGGACCACCTTTATTATTCCATCTTCGAAGCAATAGTATGTAATCCACAAGCTAGCAAACTCCAACAAGTGTGTAATAAATAAACAATTCTCTTTTTCATCTAGCTCTCTTGCTACTGTACATTGCCACCACCATCGTCGTAGTCGTCCTCCGTCATCATTCCTACTCGTACTCGTCACCAGTCGTCAATCTCATCCGTCACACCAACATCCAAAAATACACAATATGAAAAGAATGGGATCTTGCAGACTTCCTTTTGAATCTCGTTGTCGTCATCATTGTCATTGTTGTAGATGGGGTGATCATCGTAATCGTCATTGTTGTGAATGTGGTAACCATCGTAATCGTCGTCTCTGCAAATAAGAAAGCGGGCAAGTTAGACCATCTGGTACCGGAATGATGACGATTTGGTATATCGTTAGGCGATCCTCTCCAAGGAAGAAAACAAATCAGAAGGAATTCACAAACCAAATCACCACCTTACGAGCAACGTCGGGCGATCCCTTGTTCTTGAGAAAGCACTGCACGAATCACGCAAGGCCAGTTCGATCCATGGCAAGGAAGGACACCACTTACGTAGAGTCCAGGCTCATAGTTGTTCTCGTTCATCCTATCCAAAGAAAGAATACTCCCCAATCCTTCTAATCATTTTCCCACCTCATGAAAAGAAATCCTCAAGGGAAAGAACGAGCCTATCACGAGAAGAGCGTGTTGGTTCAACACATTCACGGCCGAGCCATTGCAAATCCCCTTTTACCTCAACACGGTGACCAT